CAACCACGACCCAGGTTTTCAGACGGAGTTCTTGAAATAATTTTCAACGAAGCGACGACTGTCCGAAAATCTACCGAGAAACGCCGAGTAAAGGTCGAAAATGTATCGTTTCTCCGTCAGTACTGTTCGTTCGTGGAAATATTTTGGCTTGATGGTCTTTTCCTTCAAAAACGTCGCACATGTTTTTACTGCTTTCTAAAAGCGTCGGTGACAGTGGGTCCTTTCCTTTAGTATTTGCAACACTATTGGGTGTTAGCATTCTACTCAGAAACCTACACCGGCTCAGAATCAGTTGAAGAATCCTTGCGCATTTCTCAATCTGCCAACCTTTACGTAGATCACCGTACATCAGTGCAAATGAGAATCGGTCCGGCATCTTGTTACCAGACCTCCGTAGACACTGGTTCTCAGCGGGCGACCTGACGCCGACCTAAAGGAATGTCGGAATGCTCTGGTCATCTTTCTTCAAGAACTGTGCATGCTCAAGGCTTGTGGAGTGTTGTTTCAACCCTGGAGTTACTTATCTAAAGCCTACAAGGTGCTCGCTCTTACAAACACAAACTCAACATTTCCTAGTTCAGAGATAATTCCGTTTTCAAAACGAGGACATTTTTCATCCGGCTATAGTGTAAAACGAGTACAATGTGCTAAGCGTTAGACACGAAACAAGTAAATAAAATGCATTGCATCTGACTTTTACTGATGTCTGCTTTAATATGATACATAAATTTAAAAAAAAAAAAAAAAAATTCGGACGATTTTAATTTCGGACAAAAAAGTGTCCGAAAACAAAACCATTTGAAATTTTAAGCGTCCGAGATATTTACAGTACAGTATTAAACTTGTAAATAACTCCAAAACATTTAGCTTCCATTATGGAGCGAACTCTGGGGCTTATATCCAGGGAGCTTATAAGTAGCATAATGAAAATGTTTCGAAATGTAACAGTATTGATCAAAATAAGTTTTTCATGATTTTCAATTAAGCTTTAAAACATCGTAATAAATCTAACTCATTTCATGTTAGCTAGATGGGGGGGGGG